TCATTATGGTATTGTTATGACAGCGGAAGTCACGTGACGCTAGTAACATGTCATGATATTCTCGAGGGTTCGTGAATGCTCAAGTGTTTACTGGATGTGCGGTATTCTTGTATATAAGACCGCCAAGAAGTGACGGCAATAATGGAATTGAATTGCAGACAGAGATAGAGACGGACAATTGAGTCAAGCACGTGAATCGTTCGTTGTGAATTATAGTGTTTGTTTAAGTTATAGCGTGACTGTGGAAATTAAGTGTATTGCAAAGTTGTATTGAGAAAGAATAAACTAGTTATATTTAAGAAAGGACTTGTATCACTAAAGTTTCTTCTAAAAGAGGGTAAATCTGTTTTTTCTGAAGCCAGATGGTGTGATTGTATCTTATTTCACATGAAAGAAATTATGCAGTTTTTCAATACTACTTATGAATATTATGACAGCTTGGTCTACTGGACATGTAGCTCACTACTTGCTTTAGTTTGTCTATTCTAGTTATACTGTCTTAACACAGTTCAATTTCTGCATGCAAACATTTTTATCTTTGTAAGAATCTTATTCAGTTATGGATATTTTTTACATAAAGTCTTAGATATAACAGCCATATAAGAATTGTTTACTTTTGTTCAAAAAAAAAGTACCAACCAACAATTTCTTCCTGATATTTCTAACAAACAATAATTTGTGATGTTTTACTCAGAACAGTAATTTAAAAATATATATTTTATAAACCAACCTTCTCCTACCATATTGACCCCAATAGACATTCCTAAAAACTTTGACTTGGTCCATACATGACCATTCATACAGATTTTTTTCTCCGGACACTCTACATAAAAGGCAGACACTGTTGGATTTAGAATAAAAAAATTGTCAAAATTAAATATCAAATAAAGAACATCAATTGATACACAGCTGTATATTGAAAAAAAACTGTACACAATAAAGCAAACAATCTTTACCAAAATGTAGAATAAAAGAAATATTATTCAGTTTACAATATGTTTCTTTGTTCAATAATAAACAAGAGAAGTGTAAAATAAAACAATACATATATCAAAAAATCTTATACAAAATGTAAAGTATAAGAAGTATTCTTGTTCAGCTTACAATTTGCTTTTGTTCAATAATAAACAAGTCTAAAGCAATAGATATATCAAACAAACTTCTGCAAAATGTAAAGTATAAGAAGTATTCTTTTTGATATATCTATTGCTTTAGACTTGTTTATTATTGAACAAAAGCAAATTGTAAGCTGAACCAAACTTCTGCAAAATGTAATGTATGAGAAGAAGTATTGTTGTTCAAGTTCCAATGTTTTCTTTGTTCATTAAGGCAGTTCTCTTGGTTTCTAGGACTTGTATTTACTTATCCACTGTTTAATGTATTTCACAAAAAGCTACTCAAGCTAGACAGCTAGTCAACACCACCATTACTAACTCTTGTGAGACAAAACAGTGGGATTTAAAGTGTGGATCAAGAACATGGAAATTTAGCTCCACGCTCCAGCCCACTAGTCAATGTTTGTTACACAGGTAGCTGCTATAAAAAAAATCTTAGAGTAAAGAAGTTCTTTGCATATGCATGAAATGTCTAGTTTGACCAGGTACACACACACTCACATACATAAATATGTAGATATCAATAATGCATGATTGACTGTATGCATATGATTACCTAATTGAAATTTCAATGAAAAAAAAAAGGTGATCTTTTTTGAAAATAAATCTAACATAGTGATCACACAAGCTTTATTTACCTGGTGGATGATGAGAAACTTGTTCAGCAACATATGTTAACATGCAGTACTCTTCATCTAAAAGGTGCATACCACTAGAATTTGACGAAACCGGCAAGTTCTGACAAACGTCTTTCTTTTGAACTTTCCAGGAACAGTGAAAAGTCTCTCCAATGATAGGATTGTATGGCTTTTTTGCTGCAGATCCCTAATATTACATACACACAAGATGAAACCCAAAACAGCAAAAATTACCAGTTTTTACAAAATAAATTCATTTGATAGCACCACATCATTAGTTCAAAAAGCAATAAAAGACTGATAATTGGTTATTGCAGTTATAGAAACACAGTCTTAGATCATTTTCATCCTCTACTTTTACTCATAACAAGTTTTTGTGTTTTCATCATACAGATACACTTTCAACTCGGATAATATGGTAGCTGAATAAATAACAGCAATGTCTATATAAAATATTTGTTTGTTACGTTCAGGAATAAAGATATACAAGGGTAAAACTTAGATCACAGACTAGTTAAGTTTCAGAAATAGTAGGAGGAGAAATTTTATTGAAAGACTTTAAATATATTTTCATTACATCTTTTAAATCTTATGCATCACACTTCAATTCCTGGCATTAAACAGAAAGTAAATATATCAACAATTTCTTAACTATTCCACAAGTAACTAATATAACAGTCTAAAGTGGTAAAATAAATGCATGAAATTTGAAAAGATTTTTCATATTTTATAGAAAGAAATGAGAGATTTTGTTTTATAGCCAAGAAATGGGGGAAAAAAAAAAAAGAGTTATGAAACACTCAGAAAACTCTTTGGGAAAATGGAGAATATCATCGTGTATGTTGTCTTTAACAAATATCAGAAGCTATTTTTCACTTAAGATGTTCGTGAATAGAACAAATGACCCCAAATGTAGGATTTTTGTACAAAATTATATACTTAAAAAAAATTAGAGATTTCTAACTATATAATTTCTTTCTAGATTAATAAATTCCGTAAAATATTCTTTGACCATAAATTAACCAAATGCTGAAGAAATATTAACTATTTCTGAATTTATTGTAACTACACAAAATGTGGCAAGCTTTTAATAAATAGTACAAGTCTATTGTATACAAAATATCAGGTATGTTAAAACAGATATGTCTATGAATTGAGAACATCAGTCTGATTAAGATTATGACACTGAGACTCTTACAAGTTTGAGTGCAAGTGATTTTTATTTGTAACAATAAATATACTTTTGTCCATTGTACAGTTTGTATTTGTATAACATTTAAGACTTCCAAAACACATATCTACAGTTTTTCCAGTATCCTTTATGATGGATGTGGTATTTTCTCTTGGGGTGAATGAGCTGAACAAAATTCATTCACTCTGAGAAAGTCTCGGGATAAACTTTACTGTATAATTCTGCAATGTTTAGCTCAAGTTTACCCACTAACTGTGTGCTACTGTCATATACCACTATTTGACATCACTAAACACCATGGGTAGAGCCAGTACACACATTTAGAACTCCGCTGTCTTTCTTGCAACACTGGATTGTGTGCATTGCCCTGCTTTGAATACTACACCAAATCCTAATTATAATCACTGAAACCAGATTACAGGTAAATAAATATTACGTTTTTTTCTTTTTTATATTTTGCATGAATTTATACTAAATTATTTTCCTGCTTCTAGAACTATCATATCAAAGAACTGCTGATTATGCAAGTCCATTTATTTTTTATATACAAGTAGTACAATGCAGACATGAATACAGGATTTTTTAGAAAATAAGGACTGATAGCTAGAAAGAGGATGTAGATAGGTATTTCTAGGTCAGTTTTGCCATTTTTCCTTCAAATTTCCCTACTTTTCAGAAAATATTTTTCCAAAAAGGGAGGTCTGGACCCCTTATAAACTTACACTTTACAGTTTTACTTCTAGGTTATAAGTGTTTGTGGTCATCATTGATGCTTCTCTTTTATTTATATATTTTAATTTGTTACTCTTTGAATATAATTTATGTAATTTCATTTTCTGCTTTTTGAACTTTTTTGTAAAATGTCCAAATAAATTTATTGTGATTTCATATTAATCTTGTTTTAATTTTAAAAAAAAAAGTGAGGGTCTCAGGCTACAGAGGGTTAAGATAGCAAGAAGAAATAAATAATTAGTAACAGCAATATTACAAGTAGCCTAACTATTATAGTACATATACTAGTAACTCACGAACCATGACAGTGGTTCATAATAGGGATTGCCAAGGAATATCACAAAAATTCTAATAGAACATATGGGCAAAAACCATCCTAAAAGCAGACTTGTTCTTGAAACAACACTCAGGGCCTTCTATCTCAATGGCTAAGGCTGCTATAATATTGATAACAACAACAAAAAAGTTGATTTTCTTATTGTTAGGTAAAATTCTAAATTCATCCATTTATTCTTCATATTATTCTTGTTCCACAAACCTACAGAAAAAACGGCTGTGAATAATTTATTTAAACCTCGGCATACCTACTCAAAAAACCTCTTGCACGGGACAAAGGACTATTTTTATGTTGATTCTTGAAAGAGAAGGAGTGATTTTGTCAGTTTTTTTGTTGCAACTGGCTAAGTTTTTCTCTTTGAAGCCATTCAAGAACTGAAACCTACAACAAAAATGGCTAGGTATACTGTGCCAACATTAATATACAGCTACTAAACAAACTCCTTCATTGTAGGGCTATTTTTAACTTGATTCTTCAAAGTTGGGATTTTCACCTTCTTAAATTTTCTAAGTTCTTCTTTGCTACCAATAAAACCTCTTCAAGCACCGTTATACTAATCAGAAATGCTCCATTTTATACTAGCCAGAAATGCTTTGTTTTATTGGAGTAAACAATGTGTCTCCAGTTTTATTATTACTGATTATAGTTTTACAGGTTGTTACACAAAAAAGGACTATGATTATTTTACTGAAACCTGGAACAATAGTAATGAATGCAGTATTGAGTATTTCAAAAAGTAGTTTTAAAATTAAGTCCAGTGCATTCGTTTTTTCACCCTGAAGAATTTCTCTGACTCCTTCACTTCCTGCCAATGAAAAAATCTGGTGTTTTACTAATTTACATTAATTGGAAAATAACTTGTGCAACTTATAGATAATGCATTAACTGGAAACTGCCGGGTTGAAGATTCATTGTTTCTCGAGTTTGCTGTTCTTCATTGTTTCTTGAGTTCGTTGTTGCACTTTGTCTCTATTTCAGTGACTTATATAACAGTAAATGATTACCATAGTTGATTTATCTACTCTTGTGAGTGTTGATTTATTCTACTGATTTTCATACTTCGCTGAAATTGTGAGTGCATATTTTATTATTATTATTCATATTTTTGTTTTACAAGCTTACAGCAAAATTGGTTGGGTATTTTGCACCAAAACCTAGACAGATATACTATATAAAATGTAGCAAATGTCCATGATCTACTTAAAAAGTTGAATTACATAGCTATAAATAAATAATATATATGATGTTGTTTATTGTGAGTGGCTTCCATTGTATTTGACATTTATTAAATGAGTGTTTACACAAAACCACCTGGCTCAGTAAATAATGGCTGATGGAAAGAAAGAAATTGCAGCAAGAAACTACTGAAAAACATGTACCATTCAACTGAATGGATATGTACTTATGTAGCTTATAATTTATTCTTCAAAAATGGACATAAAAATTTAAGAAACAAAATAATTAACAATTATTAATTTACAAAGGGGGAGTATGGATCATCAAAAAAGAACAGAAACAAGTTAAATCAAAATGCAAATATTATATTTTCAAGCCCACAATTAGGGACTTAAGAAAAAGTAAACAAACGACTTTCTCAAGCTACAAGTCCCTATTTTGACTCCATGTCTACAGTACTTATTGATTTTAGTGGAGTCAAAATAGGGATTTGTATTGAGAAAATAATGTAAGACACTATTTCCAGCCTAGTTTCTTTACTTTTTTTTAAAAGTCCCTAGCTGTAATCTTAAAAATCTAATCATTACATTTTAATTCAACTTGTTTCTGTATTTTTTTTATGATCCCTATTCCCCTTTCTAAATTAACAATTTTTAATTATCTTGTGCAATTGTTACTAGCTAATCTTTCTAAATAGTGAATTTTGATAATGAGCTAAATATAAAAATAAGCTAAATTATTTTTAGTTCTGCTGATTAAATACAAAAGAATATAAAAATAATAATAATAATACCCTCTTTCATTTCAAAATGTAAAGCCCAATTCACTTCTAAGATCTTGTATTTGGCTATCAATGAATCTAAATTGTTCTAAGCCTAATACTTGTACATTGGTTTCTGTTCCACAGAAGTGTTTATTTTGAGTTAATACTACAATATATTGATTAAAATAAATATTTAAATGATATAGCATGCTTTTAAATGTTATAAAGTCACCTAACTGCTGGTGAAGTTCTCAAAAACATGTATTTCGAACACTGTTCCAAATCAATTTCTTTCTCCAAGATTTCTCTCAACAGCTTCATGACAAATAACAGAATAAATCATACATTCTATATACCACTTTAAAGAACAGACAAAGAGCACTGGTCACATCCTTAGTTCATCATCTTATGGTTTGCCAATTGTGGGATACAAATTGTTACATCAGATTGTGATGAATGAGGCAGATGAGACAAGAATTGGTTAAAATGCTTAAAACTAAACTTGTATACACCCAGAAGCATTGATTTACAGATCAAATTATTCAAAATAGTTACATTATTGATCATAGATGGTGTATTTTATTGTTATTATGGTGAAAAACGTTTTAAAAATTTCCAAAGACTACTGTTTAATTTTAGAGGGTGAATTTTTTTGTTAAATTTCTCTTTAAACTTAATTAAATAGAACCATATACTAGAAACAATTGAAGTTAACATTTTCTTCCTCTCACGCAACAGCTATTACTTGACTTCTAGGGTTTCTTTCCTTTGCTCATCTAAGCTTTGATCTGAGTTTTTCTTCCTTGCTCCAGTCTTTTATTCTCCACTTAATTGCCCTTGGCAATATCTGTCTCGTGACACTCTCCATTTACATCAATGCATCCTCTATCTTGGTACTGTATATAAGCACCTCCTTCAGATAATATTGACACTTTTTTGAGACTGAACCAATCTGCAGTCTCTAACACCAACTCTTAGTGAAGAGGA